GGATACGGCTCCTATGTGCAGAAGACTACTTTGGAGTATTCGGAGAAGGAACCCGCCTTGCAATGCTGAAGACAATCTGCGTGCCGGATACATCGTCATTGAAGCCCGGTTCAGGGGCTAATGAGGGAGTCCTGGATTATGGGGTCCTCGGGGAGCCGGCTTATGTTACATAGGCCGGACTAATGGGCCATGAAGATACAAGACAGAAGGCCCTCCCTCGTGTCCAGATGGGACTCTCCTTTGCATGGATGGCAAGCTTGGTGTTCGGATAATGTATCTTCCTTTCTATGTAAACCGACTCTGTACAACCCTCGGCCCCTCCGGTGTCTATATAAACTGAGGGTTTAGTCTGTAGAGACAATCATAATCATATAGGCTAGACATCTAGGGTTTAGCCATTACGATCTCAAGGTAGATCAACTCTTGTAACCCCTATACTCATCAAAGTCAATCAAGTAGGAAGTAGGGTATTACCTCCATTAAGAGGGCCCGAACCTGGGTAAACATCGTGTCCCCTGCCTCCTGTTACCTTCGATCCTTAGACGCATAGTTCAGGACCCCCTACCCGAGATCTGCCGGTTTTGACACCGACAGGCGGTACTACCGCTCATTAGCATCAAGCGATACTACCTCCCGCCCGAGCGGTACTACTGCTGTGAGGCAGGGCTGGGGTGTGGGCAGGGGGGGTTTTTACTCCCCCATATCTACAACCGGACTTGGTAAATCCGACTCCCTATACGTCTGCGGAGGCGCCCGGGCGCCCGCGGGCTCATCCGGACAGGCACTCATATTTCTTTCCCTGCATCTACATATCTCAAATCCGGACTCTCAAATCCATGCAAATACATGCACGTCGATCATACAAGCCAATGTCAAAGGTAAATAGCAAATGTCGGTACGAAACATAGATAGTATTTAAATAAAATTTATTTTAAGTGCCAAACTCAAGCATTGGCTTCTTGGTTGCCATTGTGTGTCCACATGTGCTCCACAAGATCATTGAGTAGTTGCGTTTGCATCTGCTGATCTCGAAGATTCTGATGCATCTGAAGAAAGTTCATCAGCTAAATCGCATCTTGATCTTCTGGGATTTCAACTTCTTCTCCAGGTTTCAAAACATGGGTTTGAGCTACACCATCACCCTCATCCTCGACAATCATATTGTGCAGAATAACATAACATGTCATCAGCTGCCACAAAGTTTCTGATTCCCACATCATTGCAACACTCCGCAAAATTCCCCAACGAGCTTGAAGCACACCAAATGCCCTCTCCACATCCTTCCTAGCCACTTCCTGCATTGTTGCAAAGTGGCTCTGTTTCTTGCCACACGGCTCGGATATGGTATTCACAAATGTCACCCACTAAGGATAGATACCATCGGCAAGATAGTATCCCATGTTGTAGTCTCGATCATTGATGGTGTAGTTGCACGGCGGTGATTCCCCATTGCAGAGCCTCCTGAACACCCGAGATTATTGAAGCATGTTGATGTCGTTGTGAGAACCCGACATTCCAAAGAAAGCATGCCAAATCCATAAGTCATGCGATGCCACCGCTTCTCGTATGATGGTGGCCTCTCTGGTGTGACCTTGATACATTCTCCGCAAACCTTTGGGCAGTTCTTCCATTGCCAATGCATGCAATCATTTGATCTGAGCATTCCTGGAAACCCCCTTGCCTGTCCAATAGCCAACAACTTCTCCGTGTCCTGCACATTTGGTTCTCTGAGATACTCATGTCCAAACACCTCCATCATGGCGCGGGCAAACTTGATAGTAGTCTTCAAGCACGTGCTCTCCCCCATCCTGACCATCTCACCAACGGCATCTGCAACAGTACCAAGTGCAAGCATCCTCAGAGCAACCGTACACTTCTTCTTGGGAGAGAAAGAGAGTTGTCCGTAGCAATCCCTTGTGAGCTTGAAGTAGTCATCGTTTGCCGTCCTCCATGAGCTTATTTCGGTCACACCGATATGGGTAGGAGGAGGGAGGTGGTCAAGGTTGTGCCCGTGGGTATTCTATTGTGCTCAGATGTGTGATGTACCACGATGATCTCTGCGAATGGTTACTAAAACTATCAAAGTCGACGTGACAACACACACACGTTCGAGGGAGCAATGGTTGGATGTCCGAGAGAGCAGAGGTTGCCCTGATTGTGATACCAAAGAGTTGCTAACACGTCTGCCACTTGAAAGGTCATATTATCCCCTAAGTGATTTTGGTGTTAATGACAACACATAGTGCTATGTCATATTCAAAGACAAGCACACATGGATGGAGCCCCCCCCCATTCTTAAAAGAAGAAAAGAGGCGGCATCTTATCGGTTCTGGATTATTTGAGTCGATTGAAAAATCGTACTATAAAGAGGGGTTGCACCGTGGAGATGTGTTGGGATTCAGATCACGCACACTAATAAATTGCACCCACAAAATATCACCGATGCTTAAAAGAGAGCCCCCAAGTTATGATTATCATTCCTAACCCTCCAGGCCCGGCCCCTCCAGGGTTCACAGAAAGTGTGCAACTTGACTGCACACTCTTTGTTAACTCCAGAACGTGCCTAAAGTCTATACGGTACATCTGACCAGGTTCCGAGGTGAACAGTGAATGTATTTGCACACTATCGGTTAACTCTGGAACCCGCCGATAAGATGCCAGGAGCCTTCGGGGCATGCAGATTTTTGGGCATAATCTCTAGAATCCTAGGGGTGGCTGTTTAAATTGTCCCCCTACCCAAAGAAGGTGACGATTCCACTCTCTCTCCTCCACTAATACAATCTCAAATTTCTCGGAGATCTCTCTCACTAGCCACCTAAACTTGTTGATCTTATCGGGAGAGCAAGAGGAGACCCCATTATACGCTTTCATGAAAGAAAATTTGAACCCCCTTGATCCTAGGTGGATCTTGTTACTCTTAGAGTTGTTACTCCTAGTTGGTTGGAGTCCTTCCAAAAGCTTCATTGTTGCTGTGTGCTCCAGAGAAGTTTCTAGAGGTTTTGTGGGTGCCTTCAAGTCTAACCACGAGTGATTTGAGACTCATTTGTTGGGTTGACTGAGCCACTTGGTGACGATTGGGAAGTTTTGACTCCCGCACCTCTCCAACAGAGATTATCACTCCTCAAGAGTGTGAACTTCGAGATACATATTCGTCTCGAAGCTTGTGGTTCATCCTTTATGCTCCTTTAGTTGTATTGCTTGCTAGCTACCTTGTTACTCTTGCTTTCCTTATTGTTTGCTAACTGCCTTGTTCTCACCTTAGATTACAATTCTAGAGGACTAAATTTATCCGCATTACCCATATACATTGTGGTACACTACATGTACGTAGCTAGACTCAAACGCTTGCATCACCCCCAACATGTGGACACACTCACATACGACAAAGTGTGCATAGTCTGCTCGATTGACTACACGTGGCCCACAATTCTTTTACACATCCCCGTGGTGTCTCCATGCCTACCTATACCTTCATTCACCACATAATTCACCTTCGTAAAGCCCTTACGCAGACCGTGTGAACTTTCTCACCAACACAACTTTTACATTTGATCGCTCTAGTCCTCCACCACAGATGGGGCCACTGGTCTTCCTTTCCCGCCCATGGCAACTCAAGAGTTTCAGGTCACACCTTTTTTTTGAAAAGGAGGTCAGCCCCCGGCCTCTGCATCGGATAGATGCATGCGGTCACACCTAAGAAAGAGGAACTTCAAGATGCAATGACACTGGATTGGACAACACACTCCCTCGTGAACTCCTTCGCCACCTTACAAATATGTAACCACCGACGACATTGACACCTACATCGATATGCAATGCGTCTGCGGAGCTTAGAGGGACATGTCAACAACGTCGTACCTGGATGATGAGAACAATGAGACACCAGGGTATGACAACAATCGCCTTTTGGTTGACTTGTTCACCGAACGCTTAGCCCGACAACACTACTTAGCACAATGGTCACACACTGTAGGAAAGACTCCAATGAAAGTGATGGTAGGACCGCTGTCTCAACCCACTCACATGCCACAACATATACTTCGCTTCCAATGGCAGTTGATCAAACCAACCCACATTCTGGTGCAGCGCATATTTTAACTTAGCTGGTGGCAGTAGGTTAATCCCCTAGAACTTCCAAAAATAGCCTGGGTTAGAGTTTACCATGTAGCATCTGGTTTAAGTTTTCGATGCTAAACTCTTGCTGCTAAAGCATCTTGGTTTGGAAAGGTTTTAGCACTTAGCTAGAGTTAGTGTTTAGTAGAGTGTAGCATCTGGCATATGCCAAGCTAGTTCATGTGGTTCACACTGCCACAGACTGCAGTTCACAGGACTGACCCTAATGTATGGTTGTATATCTGTCAGATTATGCAAATAACTGATCAGTCAGTCTTTCATTTGATAAGGACTACAAGTGAGATATCTGGCAGATATATAAAAGAACAAGACAAACACCTGAAAAATCCAGCAGAACTGGAACAGCACGCTCTTTGTCAAGGATTCCATCTACCAGAGCACTAGTAATCTATCTGATACACAAATACCTTGTTTTCTTTTAGTTTCTGATACATAAACCTTGTTACATATGACTATAAAAAAAATGTTACAGATGAGAATCAGTAAGCAAGCAACTGGATTGTGATAAATTTCAGATAATAAGAACTGGAATGCTGATAAATTTAGTATTCTAAGTATATCGCTACAAAACCATGAGATTTATGGGTGCAACATATTTACAACAGTAGTATAATTTACATTTTGAAAATCTAGGGATGGCACCAACGACGAGGAGGGTCTCTGAAACAACTAGTTATAACATTTGTATTTGAAAGCAACATGATGTGGGCAACTCCATCCTTTGCAGGCCAGGAAACCAGCCAGCGGCTAGTGGCCAAGGTCATCACTTGGTTTCCAGTTTCCGTCACCTTCAACAACAAATCTAGTTTCAACAACACAATATCCCACGGCCAGCAATGCTTGAGATTACGGCAAACAGTAGCTTATCAGATTGACACTGCTAGATCTGTCAACTGAACCCATCCAAAAGCACATCTGTCTCGGATTTTCTGAATCTCCAGAAATGCCGAGCTTATGGTTTGGTTTAATACTGCAAACTCTTTCTCGAAAGGAAGCCGCATCTTCTGGTCCAACTGCATCCAAAAATCTGTACATCAACTATGGCTTTCACAAAGGAAAAGAAAAAATAGCAATTGGGTTAGTCTAACCTTATCAAGACACCGGGTTGCATCAAGTACATAGCAAAGGTAGGACAATTGCCTGTATAGATCTGCCTCTGTGTACTGTCAGTGCAAAGAATCGGTATCAGTCGCCATCGAAGAACAAATAAGCACATTGTAAACTTAAGCCTGTATCAACAAACCTGTCTTACTAAACGGCCGTTGCATTGTGGATAGTTCGGGCAGATGGTTCCTCTCTCAGAATCCCCCATCACTCTAAGGTTCACAATGTGAGTCGAATATTTGCAACCCTCGTCATCACACTGGAAAGAAATAGGCCGAAAGCGAAGGTTCTTACATGTAGACAGGGACCCAAGGGCAAAAGAATATGAAACTGTCTTTTTATCTGGCATGGAAAAAAAATCAATTTCAGTTCAGCAATCTGAATGCTAGATCATATTACAGGAAGTGGTAGTAACCTGGTTGGCAATCACAGCAGGAGAAACTCTGCACTCATCAGTATCATCTGGACATCTTGGGCATCGCATCCGACGCCAGAAATTCACAATAGCATCTTTTCCTTCATTTGCATCTGATAAACTAGCAATCAGACTGGATACAGGGGGACACTCGAAGGTACTGGTACAGCATGGGCATGATAGGCGCATCGGCTCACAGCCACGATATCTGCAAGTATTACTCATGATATTTTTAGTTGGAAGTTCCGGACTGCACGAATCAAAGCGAAATAGGTATATTATATGTTTACCTCTCTTCTTCATCATCAGTTACAGATAAGAGCATGCTAGACATATCTTCGTTGCTAGACCCGGTCGATCTTGATTGAAACTGATTCCAAGGATTTAGAAGATCAAAAATGCATGATAGCAAAAATTCAGTTAGACAGTTAACCATGAATCAAGAGCGGATGCACACCTTGGAGGAATCAAGTCCAAGACATTCAGCCAGTCGGGCTGGGCTAGTACCCTCAATTGAAGCACACAGTCGAGAAACCACAGGATGAATCTGCAAAAGCAATTTATAATAAAAAATACAGTACAGACAAATGTAACATACAAGAACTATATGTTTTCTATATGCAAAGGAGGACCTGCTGTGACAAATAATACTCGATGTCAATCATCCACTTGTTGGGGTCTCGTGTTAACTCATCCGGATGCCTAGCTCTTTGAGCAATTCCCCCAGAATGTGTTTTATCTGAATCCTGTTTGGAATAGTCTAAGAAAGTTAGAATTGCCTCTTAATCGGCACGTAAATTTTAAGGTCTGATTTGAATATTTCAAACAAAGCTAAAAACAGATATTCCCAAAACATTCTTGCGGCAGGATCATATTTTTAAAATTAAGATAATTTCAGACAAATGAAAAATTATGTTCCCTTGATGAGTTATCATTGCGTTTAAAGCAGAGATTAACAATAACAGCACAGTTAGAGAACCCAACACAAAATAGTACTTAGGGATGCATGAAAGACCAAAAAAGCGCATTGTTGCAATACCTGTTGTGAGCAAATAATATAAGGAACGGTATCACCTGCAGAGCATCCAGAGAAACCATTTTGCTTCAGTCTTAAAGCAACCTGAAAAATCCAACACGATCAAAGGAAGATAACACTTAACTCAGCTCATCAGTTTCCATTAATCTCAGAAGCCATGAAAAAGAAATAAAACAGGTAAATCTTACCTGGACATGAGGCTGGTTTTTAGCATCTGGATAATCTTCTGGTGCTTTCGTTAGACTCTTTGTGATGATATATTTTTCAAGCTCTATTTGACCACTTTTCATCTGTGCTTGGACCTGCAACAATACTCATATTCAGTCAATCGTATATTATTGCACTAAAAAATATAGCACCGATGCAAAAGTTTAGTGCAGTAGCAACCAAAGTTAATGCCCCTCTCAGAAAATATGAAAAAGGAAAACTTGAAAGATGAAGAATATGTTGTAGGCTACTCACCTGGACGAGAGAATTATGTATTGACTCAACAACATCATCACATGTCCTGTAGAATCAGTTTTAACATGGATGAGATAAAAGAGAACATCACGAGCAAAATTAACAGCAACTAAAACACTTACCCTCCAGACAAAATTTGATTCAGGCAAAAATCACCAATTTCTTTTGACAGCAAACTCCAATCACGCCTGACCATATCAAGTCCCTTGCGCTCAATGTTCTGTATAAAGCATGTTAGAATAGATCTCCTAGTTTTGCTAGATAAATATAAAGTTGGAATAGGCACACACCTCTCGTAAACTACCATCTAGTGCCACTTTAATGGCAGCATATTTCTTCTTTTTGAGAAGCAACATTCTTTTGTATACACCATCAAGATCAATCTCCAGACAACGGTACTTCTTGTTCACCTGCATAAAGCAGTTGTGGCAAGATGATGTTTTTGTGTTGCTCATAGATCATAGTTTAATATCCAAGGCTGAAATTTTAATATCAAAGTCCTACCTCCTGAATGACCTTTCCAGCAATTGATTTTGCCTTGGAGATGTCATCCAGTCCAGTATATATCATTATGGAGTCCGTGTCACCATAAATAACCTGTCCAATACAATGAAAAGAAATATCAATATGACCAATTTATTCGTAAAGAAAGTTGGCGCTCAATCATCTTATAAACAAGGTTCTTTGGATATCTTATAAAGGTTATTTGCCACTGAGATATTTATAAACGTAAGTTAGTAATATACATACCTCCAAGTTTAAATTATTCTGAACCAGATTAACAGTGTTTTGTAAGATCTCTCTACCCTGCAGGGTCATCATAGTGTATATCAGTCATAACAAATATAGTTGTACATGTTTGTAAATTACTTTTGAAGGAGAGAAAGTATGTTCTCACTTGCAGGGTAATAAGCTCGGCAAGTGGCTTTGCAAAAAACCTAGAACTAGTAAAGCCCAAGCAACCGTACATACTGGAGCATGAAAGGATAAATTAGAGCCCATCGACCTTACTGGACAAATGCAGGGAAAATGCTTGTGACAAGTATTTTTTACCTGTTTGCGGTGAGCTTCAAAGCTTGCTGCTGAATATCAAACTGCTGCCTTTTGAGACCAGAGGCGGTTTTGAGCCAGGATTTAACCATTCTTCTCCTCTCCACCAAACTCTTCAACAACTGTTTCGTTATCCATGATTGCGAAAACATGTTAGAACAAAATTATGCCCTGACGAGAAGCTACTTTTCATCAATAACTGAAGCACAAAGAAAAGTAAAGATATGACAAGGAATATTTTGTGTTATTGTATTACATGTACACTAATGACCAGAAGAATATTTCTCAGTAGTCTATTCCAAAACCAAGGAACCAAGGTTTATCAGTTCTCATA